GATATGAATTAATAAGTTATTTATAAGATAAGTGTTACGGGTGATTATTAGGATCGAACTGAAACTTGGTCTGCCTTTTAGAATCGTTTATCCTTTAGGAAAAATGCAGAAGCTTTCTAATTACCAGTGATTATATACATATATATATATAACAGTATGCGTAATTTTCCTTAAATCGAATCAAATCAAATCATTAATTATTGCAAACTCAATAATACGCAACTTTCTGGCTTATTATTATTGTCTGAAGGTCCATTTCGTAATGGCAATAATTAAAAAATGTTTCAATTAAGTTTATTTAAATAACGATCATTTCTATTCCAGTCTAAATAATCAAAGGTCATATTTAGTGGCATAAAACCTATCATAGTGCATAGGTAGGTACAATATTCTTAAAATGTAATAGCGAAAGTAATACCAAAATAAATAAGCAAATAACAATTTTTATGTCTTTAAAATACATTTTTACTGTCGTATGAGGAATATTACCCAGAGGTCCATTATAGGTAATAAAATTTCAATAAAAGTTAGACATTTACCTCGGTAATAAAAACATAATAATATAAAATAAGACATTTGTAACTTTATATCGAAACTCATTCCAAATAGACTAGTTGTTTTTCAATGACTTCAAGTAGATTTACAAGAATAAAAATAATGACAGAAAAACTAACCTATGTAAAAGATAACTACTTTTGAAATACTCTACTATAAGTACAATATTAATAATCAATGTTGATGTAGGTAGTTTTAAACAAATTACTCAATATAATAATTGAAACGCAATAGAAATTACAGGTTTAAATTTTTAAAGAGTTTTAATTTTCCCGCTCAAAACATTCGGCCAGCAGTGTTATAGCGACAACCAAAATCGCCACAGATTGTGTAATTTCACACGGCGAACCACTCGTCATAGCTGTATGTTCTTTATAACCGTATTCTTTACCTGCGTCTTTGTTTTTGTTTTTTTTACATGTATATAAATGGTAAATAAATAAAAATTGCTATAAATTTCATGCCTGTGAAACCGCGGCACAGTTATTTGGAAAAATATCTGATAATTGCAGTTTCAGAATTTTTATTCTGTAGGACTTTACATCTATATTCTGTATACATGAATTGAAATCAGAACCCCGAGGTAAATACCTTTCATGAGTTGTCATTTTAGTCACTTCGTCCGCCACCAATGATAATTTTAATGAATAGATTAATTTTCAAATATAAAATCATAATAGCTATTGAATCAATTCAATAACTGGAAATAAATAGATACCGTCTGTTTGGCGCAGCAATCTAGCATGATTGTTCATTCATTAAGTCAGTCGATCAGAATGAGAGCGATATCAGTACCCAGTTCTCTACCTAAAGTTATATAACGGCTTACGGATAACACTAAAATTTGGGACAATCAGAGCATAGATGGGAAAAAATCGCTCCTATGATTCGCTATGTAATACACGAGGCGGTTAAGAAGTTAAAACGATTTAGGGCGCTTTCCACAACTGCTTCGATATTGCCTCTGATTTTAGTGTCGTGTGTAGACAGTTTAATAAACAACTATTTAGCTGTTGCTATTATATTTCGTTGGATAAATTTTCTACTTTGTTCATATGCTTATTATATAATATATTCGTACATATATATATATAATACATCTTCATGACTGTATTCTCAGATGGGGTAGACAGAGAGATTGTAAACTGTCGAAGAGGCGAATGTAATACTGACATGTCCACATACGGGAGCATCATAAAATAGGGATATATTGTTCAAAAAATTATACAGAGTCCTGGCTGCACTTTTAAATAGTTACATAATTAATTTAGAATACGAAATGAAATTGTAAATAGCCGCTTCGCTGCGGACTTCTGGAAGGAAATGGTCGCACAAGAATTGTTCGAAAAATTCCTGTCGCTTGGCACTTTCCCCATACATTTTGCATAAGACCCCGCACATGCTACGTTCTGAAATTCGCTAGAAATGTGTGGACGGATTGAAGGTAAAACCTACATGTCTGCAAGAAACATGACTCTTTAAATCTTATACGTTTTATAAAATAGTACAATGGAGATTTTGTACAAAGTCTCCGTTTTATCCAATTCTGACGTTAACATTTGTAAATTTTATAAACAGCTTTGATTTAAATATGAGACAAAAACAGATTAGACAGACAGTTTTAGGTACCTATGGAGTACGTAAGCGTAATACCTTATTGGAAATTGCAACACATGCAATACTCACCATTGTATAGACTTCAAACGAAGGTATTGTTCAATATTAATCTGGCCTCACATTATTATATTCAGTCGGACGGTTGTCCTATGCGATTACGGTCTGATTGACGCATTAAGACCTACGCCACGCCTTTTTTGAAAATGCGCCAATAGTAACAGAGTCGCATAGAACAATCGTCCGACTGAATCTAATAATATGAGACCAGATTTATTACTAGTTCACCTGTGTTGTACCACATATAATATAATGTTACATAGTTGTACTATAATAATATTAATAAATTAGCACTCCCTGAAGAGATTTTGCTCTGTACAAGTCACTGCAGACTTATCGTAACATAGATAATATTTGTTTTGTTGCATACGTACGTATAAAGTTAATTTAATTTACCTCCCACGTACTATTCACAGTATGCTATTACCCAACAAAATTAATCAAAGTAAGGTAAATATTCCATAACCGGATGTATATACCAAGCCATAGAACGTAGTAATTGATACGTCAATATCAGTTTACAGTTTGAAACTTATTGAAAAGGATAAACCTCTGTATTCAATTGAAATCGTGTATGTATAACTTCAAAATGGTAGTAGATATGTATTTACCTCTAGAACAAGGAACGATATTTAAGGCTTCTATTGTAAAACGTACCTGAGGTTGTATATTGAAACATAATACTCCTACAAAATTTATCTTAGCGTAAGTCCGTCTTTACAGTTGTAAATTTTTAAGTAAGTATAAGTTTGTAACATACAAGATTATATGTTACAAACTACTGTTATATATTGTATTATATTATATTATATAAGAGAATATAGTATAATATATGTATGTATTAATTGAGTACAAAATTCTGAGTTACTTTTATGCAAGTCAGAATTATATTTTTACGAAAAACGATGTAAAGATAATTTCATGTAATTATTAACATAATGTTTTTATATGTTAAAAGTTTATTGAAAAAGCCTTTGGAGTATTTAATGAGAAGTACTTATTTTATTAAAAGATTTCAGGTTATATAGCTATTAGAGAGATTTTAATAAAACCAGAGTATCAATCATGAATTTTTATTCTAATTAAATTTAAGTGGAAACATGAATTCTTATAACATGAATCTAAAGAAGGAAACGCTATCATATTCTTAATTACGAAATACTTATCAAATTAACAAATGTCTTTCTTTGTCGTCGTTCAAATTATTATATAATTAATTATATAAATAAGAAACCGTTCAATTAAACACGAGCCATTCATGTATGGCACGAATTTACGGTATTCACAATGACACACTCATTAGTAAAAGAAAACAAAAACAATTATTAATGGATAAATTACGCAAAATATAACAAACATACATTTGCGAAATTGCGATGGGTACGAGCCCATTTTAGTGTAAGTAGAAAATATCTCAAGGTTCAATGTTGTTTACATAATGTTGATTTCAGGTTTAGTAATAGACTGAATTAGCTAAACAATTCGAATTTCGACCTTTAATCAAAACATTAAAGTTGACTTTCCAAGTTACGAAAGTGTTGAGTTAATGCACTTTATTATTAAACGCGAGATATATCCAAAATATTTATCGATCCTTGAGTGATTTCAACTGACACATCTTCTACTCACACTCCGCAATAATTAAGCTAGCCAGTGCCATATGTAAACCTACTTATGTTAAAAACGTGTAACAATTAACATGTAATTAAAAACATACTTTTACAATTTTAATTTTTATATTCCATCATTATTTTGAGAAGGCACATGAAAATTTCTTACAAATAAATGAAATGAGAGTCCTGCGACAATAATTGTCATATACATTTTTTGTTTCACTAAAAAGCAAACGGAACATTGAATGGCGAACAGAAGTCAAGTTTACAATCGTGAATTGTAAGACTGGGATTCCACTTTACAATTTGCCGCTCGAGTTTACACTCACGCGGCAATAACAACGACATTAGAAAAATGCGTCACCAGCCTTTCAACCAATCAGTCGCGTTACATTCTGTAATTTGCGCTTACAATTAACATTTGTGTAACATAATATGAACAGGTCTTATACACTATATAAAAATACAACAATCATCGGATGAAGCTCATTGTGCTCTTATGAGCCCGCATTGGTACGTCAGTAGGTAACACTCGTAGACCTTATTACGATGCAATAAGGTCCAGTAAAGATGTACCCAATATATTCTACATTTACTGACAGTACCTAGGTGATATGCCACAGATAAAATCTTATTTTGTACATGCTACCGTTATTTCATTTACAAAAACGTATATTTTTAATTAAAACTCAAGTATTTGGATTATGGTTCTAAAATCAGACAGAGGTATTTAAATCTGACTACATTCGACATTTCCGCCCCTCGACACTTACCTATCATTGATAATTATTTAATTTGATCCCAAAATAGATAATTCTTACAGCCAGCATGACTGGACGCGTGGAAAGAAAAGTGGCACGATAACAATAGGCGTTTATATACAAATTTATAGCCGATAGCATTAACAATATGAAGTACGAATATTTGGAGTAAGCGGTTTCAGGTATAATAACATTTATAATTCTCAAGTTTTTAAGTTGAAGTGAATGCTGAAACAGCAGTTTTTAATAGAAAAATTTGTAATGAGGAAAGAGTTTGTTTTAAAACAAATATTTTTATTTAAGCTATTAAAAAGGTGAAATAAAGATGGATCAACCATAATATTTTTTTAACGTTACGTATTATATAACAAGCATAATTTTATTTGTTAGTTTGTTGGTCAGTTATACGTTTTCTCTAGAACATGTAGTTTAATACTTATTAAATACAACTTTTTAACACTTTATTAGTATGTTGAATATAATGGAAGACAGAATTTAATTTTTTATATAACTTCACCAAATAACAATGTAAAGGAGAAAAATAAATATATTGTTGATGGCATATAGTAGATATCCACATTAAAAGAAATAAACTAGTAAAATATTTGTTACAAACAACGATTTCCTTTAATTATTTTCAATCAGAAACTCCCTACTCCAAAGTATCGTGAAACATCACACACAATAAAACAATAAAGTCAGCACTAACACTACACTACAAGTAAGAAAAATATATAATTTCCATAGAACTAACTCTGAAAGCTCGTGAAAATATTTTTAATAGTCACAAGATTGTCTTTTACATTTCTTTAATACTACAATAAGTTCTAATTGAACAATAAATGAGAGAACAGTTAAATTCGCATTACATGTAATAAATTCAAACAATCCAAATGTCATCTGTTTTATCGCCAAAACCAAACTGGGAGAACTTAGTACTAGGAACACGCAAAACTTAAGAAATAAAAAGACAAACGAAAAACCCTTAGTCATGTCTTTAGAATCTGCTGCTACGAACTGATTTTGAGCCATCTCTTATCCAACTCATCACTTTAATAGAAATATTGAAATATATGGTTATGTATATATAAAAAAATATAAGATCAATCTCGATGATGTCTTTTCAAGAGTTAGTGATTGATATTGTGATGTAAGTGAGGTTTTTGTTAAACTATGACATACTATAAATGCATATCACAAATGGCCTTTGAATGATGCCAAACGGAACTCACTTGATGCGATGTTGGAAACATTAGATATCATGTCACAGAATTTCCCGTACTACAATGTATGTAAAGTACAAAACTTTAAAGAATCTCCCTTATATAATTAAAAACCTTTCTACTCAAAACTATGGAAGCCAAAACGTGACGACGTAGCTAAAACACCGTCTATAAAATGTGACAATTTCATTATTACCTATGCATTTATTATAAACATATGCTTATATTATTACCGAGATAGCTTTTCTAAAACAGTTTCAAAGAGTGGTCCTATTTTTAATTCCGAAATATTAAGAAAATAGAGCAGTGGTCCAAGTTTTGGTTGTAATTAAAAATTGTGAAATTGTGCCAATAGTCGCTACGAATCTGATTATAATGACGAAATAGTCAAAATATGTTTAGATAATGCTATAGAGTTTGACAAGTTGATAATATACCTTATTAACGATAGAGTAACTAAAAGCAATAGATGTATCTAAAATAATATTGACACAGTTTCACCTAATTTTGCTTATACTCCATTGTAAGAAATTACACGTAGAAGAGCTATCCCATATATTTTAAAAATGACTCATTTAATATAATATCCATTTATGATTGTGGTTCTGACCCTGCCTCGTTAAAGCGATATAACTATATTATGGTACCGATATTATTACAAATTGTTACAACCTTATTCTACACTACAACAAGCTTGACGAAACATTCTAGGCCGTTAGGAACTGAAGACTGACAAATTAAATCTAATGTTACCTCACTAGAAACGAAATAATAGAAAACCGAGTGTAGAATTAACCGATGATGATCTAAATTCCACTAAAATTTGGAACTGAGTAAAACAATTGAAGTTCAGCAACGGAACCAACGAAGAAAAATAATTCTATTCTTACACTAATTCTCACTTATTTTACATACTTACCGTACAGAAGTAAGTGATACATAACAGCCAAGTGAGTACTGATGTCGTTAGTTCATATATTAGCGCCTCGCAGTACCAATTGTACTTCAGCCTTCGCAATATTATATCCAATTCGACTTATTACAACATCAACTGTTTTCTATTTATTAACGTTACAAACATCATACAACATTACGTCTATTACATCATTAAAACATGTATCAATATCATGTAAATATATATTTTATTGAAATTTGTTAGTTGGATTTTGCAAGAACCCTAGTTGTGGGCTGTAGCGAGGCGCCTCTTCAATAGTGTCAGTTCGTGTAACTATGAATATTCCGGTTCATCCCAGTCTACGTTCGCCCATTGTGGCAGCTCCGTCTCGTATTCCCAGCCGGGACCCTGCGAAGAAAATATCACATAAAATAACTTCACTTTTCCGGAATATCAAAACGATGCGTATAATTTCAGACATTTTTATTCTTTCTCGTGTCAACATTCCATTTTGAGTTCGTGATGTCATTTAGATAACACAAAAAGACGACAGGAGAAGCTCGGTGGCGCATCTATTATTAAATATATTAAATAAAATCTCTTCCTTTTATCTATATACTTAACAAATACGTTAGTTAGAAAAAGTATACTAAAATTAATAATAAATTTTAATAAACTTTTAATTAAGATATAATACATAGTTTATAGGGAAAATTACAAGATTCAAATAATTTAGTTTATGTATTTATATTTTTATACTTCAGTTACTACACTACATACTAACATGCCGTAACAATTGGTATCCCAGATCGGGTAGTCAATTCAATTCAATTCAAAATATCTTTTTTCAGGTAGGTCTTGTAATAGACTATTTCTTATGATCTTACTCATCTTAAATCTATCGTCAATTCAAAATGATTTCGAGATGAGAAGAACTGACAAGAAACTCAGCTCGTATTCTTTTCAAATAAATGTTGAACATGTTTACAATAATACAGATTTATTTTTAAATTCAAATTTAGGAGACTAGAGTCAATATCAAGTTTTGATGTCGTGATAAACGCAACTCTGGATATGCCATATTTCTATGAGTATATCTGAATTTAACGTGGCAGGAAACGAACCTAACACCGTTACACGTATGAATTTTTGAAAGATTGTGTAAGATGATATAGCGGGGAACGGCCAAATAAAATACTTTATTTTAAAGTACGTACACTTAAAAAAAATATATATGCAAAACTTTAGGCGAGAATGTAACTCCATACCTTGTGAGGGAAGGGGATTGTTAGTAATGTGGATTAATAACACCATTACAATGTACCATTACAAAGTTGACCTCCACGCGGTTACCCTTGGAAACCATCATGTTAAATTAATGGTGAATTTTGCCACGATGGGCCTAACTGACCTGACCTCATACTCATCTTATCATTCTCCACTGGTGCCCCGCCAGCGTATACCGTTAGCGAAGGTGAGTGCACCATTCCATTATCATCCCTTAAAAAAAACTCCATACCTTGTACTTCCAAGCATGAAGATACATGACGAGATCTCTGGGGCGAGGGTCGCGATACCGCACCCTGCATTCGTAGCAGTGCGGGTCGGGGGACAATGCATCCGCCGAGCCGCATGCCACGCTCGCTGAGCTAGCGGCGCTCGGGGCATTCACCGCGGGAGTGCAGCCAGTCTGTGTTGCCACTGTCACCTTGTCCGACTGTGGATATATACCTATTTATATATCTTGGAATGGCAAACAATCTGACGGATGAACTGATTAGGCATGTTTATTTAGTAATTTGAATGGACTATCTGATGGCAATTGTTGTTTATATACATGAACAGCACTATGGCCATCGCGTTATCATATGATCATACATATGTGATAGTATTCATTCGTTGTATGGAAAATATGTTAAATAAATAAAAAGTTCGTAATAAGAAGCTGCTCGTAGAGACAGACCTGCTCTAATCACTACGAATGCTTTTAATTTTATTAGTTTATTAGGTAGTTTAACTAAATAAGATTAAATGAGTAGTCGTAGATTACACCACTTGGTCGTATATTTCATATTTTGGGTCTAATAATAATCAACAAGTTAGAAATTTAAAGTTGTTCTTTTCAACAATTGTTTAACAGAGCAACACGTAAGTTTCTTGCCCGCTTTTCTTATGGTGAGATAGCTTTCCGAATGAGCGGTAGATTAAAACAAATTATCTACGTAGACTAAAGCGAATTAAGTTTATTTCAATAAAGAATTTCTTCTTCTATTCTATTTTATAGTTGTTTGACAAAAAAGGATTGCTTACAAAATTATTTATGCGAATCCCATACATTTATCAGAGCGTATGTAACAACAAAAACACTGTCATTCGGGTCAGTGAACGTCTCTGGGGTGTTATCATTTATCATTTGTCAGAATCGTCTGAACGTAAGTTCTGGGCGAACTTGGTTCATATAATATGCATATACACTGGGGTTTCCAGCCTGTGCCTCCCTCGTGCATCTATACTTAACGTTTCTTAAATCTGCTTACAGAAAATCTTTATTGGTAACTAGGTGACCCGCGCAACTTCGTCTATATCATACTTGATATTATATTTCGTCCGATTTACATATTATCTTCTTAAATTATAGCCTACGTGTTATTCTGATGTATAAGCTATATTACTGTAAAGTTTTATAAAAATCCGTTCAGTAGTTATTGCGTGAAAGAGTAATAAACAAGCATCCATATTCAGAAAATTTCGCGTTTATTATATTAGTAAGATAATTGTTTATATTCGTTTTATTAAATTTGATCTTACTTTGCGGTTCTAAGGTTCGGTTCCTTCGGCTGTGGTACCTTTTCTGAGGACTAGAGTGTTCTACCTTAATACTTAGTTTGAAAAGCATGCTGCTGGTCGGAGAATTAAACGTAGACTATTTTGAGTAAAAACTATCTCTGTTAAACGTTGATGGTCTCGGTGGTCTAGCGGTATATCACATCGCCTTACTTCCGATGGTCGCGGTATCGATTCCACGAATGGCACAAACATTTGTATTCATGAGTATGATTATTTGTTACGGTCTGGGTATTTGCTATATATATAATGTATTTATGAAAAAAATATATATGTATTTGTATCAGCTATTTAGTATCCATAACACAAGCTATGGCTAGCTTAACTTGAGTCTAGATAGCGCTGTGTGAATTGTCCTGAGTTTATTATTATTATTATTATTAAAAACGAAAAAATTCTATATATTGTGTACATTTAATGCTTGTAAAATGCCGACAAGGAAGATAATGAGGGTATCCAGAATGTTTATTAGATATAATAGAATCCAGATGCAGTGTCAAAAGCTGGTATTATGTTTTGATTTCTGTACACTGATTCGAATGCGGATTTTTGATGAGGGTTGACGTTTTCTTTGATGAGACGGTGTAGTAAACCAATTTTAGGATTGATATTACGTGAGAAGGGGTTTGATTCTCAACATGAATTGTTTAAACATTCAATTTTAAATAAGGCAACCGAAATCGCATGTTGGAAAATTTGAGATTGTTAGGTTGCTGGAAATGTTGAGAATATTGCTATGTTAGATAGTTATGATAAAACTTATTTAGACAGAACCAATTTAAATACTTGTCAGTTTCTAATTAATAATGACGCCTCGGTAGTCTAGTGGTTTAATACACTGCCTTACTTCCGATGGTCGCGGGTTCGATTCCTCGCACGGCACAAACATTATATTCATGAGTATGATTGTTTGTGTCGGTCTGGGTGTTTTCTATGTGTAAATACATATTATTTAGTTTACTCAAAACACAAGTTTTAGCTAGCTTAACTTGGGTCTAGATGGCGCTGTGTGAATTGTCCTGAGATTATTATTATTAATTATTGATAATTTTATTATTTATCTATATAGTCTGTATTGATTTTATACACGTGACTGGATTCCATAAATCTACGTAAACAATTTTGTTTTGCAATAATTATTTGATTGCAAATTACGATATATTTTCTTCGGAGCAGGAATGTGGATCCAATCATTTCGTACTAGAAGTATGATCAATATTTGTTCAATTCCGTCGAGGACATTAGCCTTAATTATATAAACAAATATATTTTAATATTGAGAAATTTTGACAAGCAATAAAAGTTACAGAAATCGTTTTTTAATCATTAATAATTCTTTAATTACTAAGTTGTTTAAAAGTATATCTGATTATTATTGTGATATATAAAGTCTATAATAACATTTCATTATTTTCTATATATGTTAGTCCTTAAGACATATATCGTATGGCTAAATTTTTTACATAAATAATATTAAGTTGCCTAAAATAAATATATTATTAATAAAAAAGAACATAAGTTTATAATGAGCCATTTTGTTCTATTTCAGGTAAAAATCTCATGTTAATCGGTAATCAATGACTGAATCATAATAAACAGATGAACCTCTTGCATTGGAGTAGTGTAATGTATAATTTATTGTTAATGTTATATACTGTAATATTATATTTACTATATATGTAAATACATTACACTACTCAAATGCAAGAGGTTCATCGGTTTATTATGATTTTTGTAATTTGAGTAGTGTAATGTATTACAAGTAGCGTATAACATCACGATGTCATCTTTCAGAGTCTATATCTTATTTTTTGGCTATTAAAATCCACTTTACAATATAACGCTTCAGGGCGGGTTCGCAACCCCCATTAATATTAACTACCTGTTCGGGGTTTTCCGGGATTACATTTGCGTCATAATATTTTCATGTCGTTAATCCTAATATAGATTATATTCAAAGCTTATTATTTAGATGGTTAATTGTTGGATCTATTTTTCAATAAGCTAGCGTCATATCAAGCTAGTGACGATTACATGGAGACATTTAGAAAGTGTTTATGCAAGTTTCAAAGGAATATTTATATATTTATATGAATACACCGCAATGGTTTCACCTGCGTGAAATTTATAGCTTACATGTTGTTCTGATGTATAAGCTATATTATTCTACAGTTTCATTAAAATCCGTTCTGTATTTTTGCGTGTAAGAGTAACAATCATCCTACCATACTCATAAACTTTCGAGTTTATAATATTAATCAGACTAAATAAGATGCTGTAAACAAAAGGACATCATATGGTATATATTTTTTAATGAGTTATTTTAGCAGTATCTATAGCACGTCAAGTTCTATTTAGATGACTTATTATTTTGTGAATAATACATTAAGCTGCGGAAACTTGCCACACGTGTCAAAAGTACATGAAATTTACGATCTAATTATTAACTCTAAACAAGCCATTGTAATTATCTATATCTAGTTGACTGTAATAAATAGTTTTAAATTCTGAAACTCTTAAGTTTATAATTGTATTTTAATTAAAAAAAAAAATACAGATAAGATCTTAATACAGATAGAACTTGCTTCTTAGTTAATAACTTGCATTTAAGCTGTTAGGGTTTAAAGAATGATATAAAGATGTGTCATATTTATTTAATCAAAATATGGTGAATATTTTCATTAAATAAATATGTCGCATCACATTGTTTTATGTCAAATCAAAGTATCTATTACTATAGAACGACAATTTTATACTTAAACCCTATTATTAGCATACTATAAAATGAAAGAGTTTGTTAACGATAATAATGTTTTTGTAGAATAACTTAAAATTCATAGCGCTGACATAATTATCTGATTGCACTAAGATAATATGGGCGTGTACCGGTTTCTATGTTGATTATAGCATGCCTCTTACTTGTTACTGTGTAAAAAAAAACATCTATTCAAAAGAGCAACTCACAAGTTACATACTCATTCTTCTTGTGATGAATCTGCGTTCCGAATGAGTGGTAGAATAAAAAATATGTCTATTCAAAAGTGCTTGTATTGAGTTTATTTCAATAAAGATTATTTCTATTTCTATTTCTGTGATCTGTATCTGTATGTTTGTAAGTGTGGCGATAACGCCACAATAGATATAGAGTGCAATGATAACAATAGAGTGTTCTCTAGTATACACCTTGACGACCTCGGTGGTCTAGCGGTCTAGCACACCGCTTTACGTCCGATGATCGCGGGTTCGATTCCTCGCTTGGCACAAACATTTGTATTCATGAGTATGATTGTTTTCTATATATAATATGTATGTATTTACGAAAAGCAAATATCTATATATTTGTATCAGTTGTCTAGTACCCATAACACAAGCTATAGCTAGCTTAATTTGGGTCTAGATGGTGCTGTGTGAATTGTCCTGAGATTATTATATTATTAATTATTTATAATTTTATTATTTATTTATATAGTCTGTATTTATTTCAATATGATTTTATACACCTCAATATTTGCCAAGAGACTGCAAGACCGGTTGGTCATTACCAATGAGTTCTAGATTAGAACTGCGCGCATCATGCTAAATGAACTATTCCACATCTCGATGTCCATTAGGGCTCGCTCATTATAAGTACATTAACCTACTTTTATCATATGTATAAAATGTGTGAATTTTTTAATGAAGCAATTATCTATTATTTAATTAATTACTGAGAGTATTTATTCCGTAGTTAATACTAATATTATAAAGCTGAAGATTATGATTGTTTGTTTGAACGCGCAAATGTCAGGAACTACTTCAAATTGAAAAAAATCTTACTGTGTTAGATAGTCCATTTGTCGAGAAGGCTTTAAGCTACATAACATTACGCCACACGAATCATCAGTTAAAATGTTGCAAAAACGGGGAAAATTATTCATATAATAATAAATGTCAAGTAAGTGTTGTACAGACGAAGTCGAGTGGGTCAGCTAGTGTTTTAGATTATCCGTATTTATGTTTACTTTTAAATTTTTGTTATAACTCGTACCTAGTATTCTTAAATTGGACCTTTTTTCGGCACCTATAATAGGTACTATATCATTTCATACGTAATTAGAATGGCAAACAAGGCCACAGCGCATCTGATGGTAAGTGGTAACCGCCGATAGTATAACTGAACAGCACCATGAACATCACGTTATCATGTGACGCCCGTGATAGCTGTCTCCTGATAAATGGCTCTAATACTGTAATTGTAATGCCTTATCATTTTTGTTTTTTTTTGCCTCATCGTCAAACGAAACCAACCAATTTTCAACTTCTTGACTAAATCAAGCTGCTTTGCTGCTCCAATAGGCTAGTACCCACGTAATTTTTTCTAGCTGTTCTACTCTAATTTAGGTAAAAGAATACATGAATATAAATAATGTAAATTAGGGCATTATATATAGAAAAGCAACACTTCCTTGCTCGTTCTTCCTGTAATGTGACAGCTTTCTGTATGAGCAGTAGAATAAAAAGAAATAATGACTATTCTAAAGTACTTAAATATAAATTCATTTGAATAAAGTTTTTTCTATTCTATTTCGATTCCATTCCATTTCATTATAGTCTAGACATACAACTACAGGATTTCTAAGTAGCTTTTAAAGTCTGTCATCCCCAATTAACCTCAGTCTTTAAGTACCTTGGCGTCATTGGAGTCCTCGTTGAGAGGTGGTGATGCAAACGGTGATCGAGCGAGCGTGCACGGCGGGGCGGGTGATGTGGCCGCCTCTACGGGAGCCTCCGCGCCACTTGATGGGCTTGGGAGGGTAGCTGATGAAAGAGAACATTCTTTATACGTTTACTCGATTACTGTTGATTTGTATTATATTGTGACTAGCTGTTAATTGCGGCTTCGTCTGTATATATGAGATGAAAGATAGCCTATTTCCGTACTCTTGATCTGATCTTGACAGCATAGTCGAATTAGGTAACAAACTGCCAGACAGTTTTGCATTTACAATATTAAGTAAGTATTTATTAATTAAGTAATCTGTAGTGTCACATATTATCGACAATAGATTTCGTCTCAAAATGTACAAAAGCATAAAGTCGCGGGATCAGTGGTCTAGGCGGTGTACTAACACCGCCTTATTCGGATTCGATTCCTCGCAAGGTACAAACATTTGTATCCATGAGTTGTTTGTTTGTTATGTTATTATTAACAAAAATAATGTATTTCTATTAGTTGTCTAGTAGTCAGAACACAATTCCTGTTTAGCTTGGGACTAGATGGCGCTGTGTGAATTGTCCAGGGTCACTATAAACATTATATATTATAATTAATAGTATCTACAAATTGAAATGCGCATGAAGTTGGTGACTAACCTAGTTATAAAAAAAATTATAACTTACGCGTCATTATAGTAGAGGGTGTGACACCGGGAGCTGGTGACTCCAGCCGCGGTGAAGACTCCCGGGACGCAGGTCCAGTGTCACAATCATCCTCACCAACTGGACAAACAGTCATAAATATATATTACAGCATATGATTATACATACAGATCAATAAATCCACCTTTTGTAAAACAGTTTTGTTGTACTGTGCTTATTGTTCTTTTTTTATCTGGGCTATTTATAAGAGTTATTTTTTTTTATTACGATATCCATCCATATCATTTTAATAAACAACTTATAAACTATTTTCGTAAATTACAATGTAAATCCTTATTATTCTAATTCATATATTTCTATGTCCATCAGTCCAGAAGAGCAGATCATGGGTCCACACCTAACCAGTTCTCAGCATTATGTATAGCTATGATCTCTGAATGTCATCTGTTTTCCCGGTCTCCTGGAGTGGACAAATCCGATAGCATATCCGCTTATATACATTCCTTTATGTTAAAAAATCGATTTTTTTTTCATAATGTTACATACTAAATTAGTTATATATATTTTTTTACTTTATACTGTTTGACCTTTAAGAAACTTGAATATATCAATAGTAAAATAATATAAATATTAAGACGCCATTTTGAAGTTTTTGAATACTATCACAAATGTTCTTCTGTCATCAGATGCAGAAGGCGAAGACTTGGTGTAAATGAAGAGCTGAGATCACCAATTTCATCACGATAAACCGCTAATTCAGCATCCACACCTAACCAGTTCTCAGCATTATGTATAGCTATGAGATCTCTGACTAGTTGCTCATCTGTTTTCCCGCCCGTATCACCTCCTTTACCGCGGAGTGGTCCAAATACGGGGTGGTTGTATAGCGGATCATTCACTACAGGGTAACCTATAAAATAATTAATGTTAATATACATTCCTTTAAAATGTACGTAGTAGTAGCTATGCCCGTGGTTTTACGCCCATGAAATTTATAGCTTATGTGTTATTCTGATTTGTACGCTGTAAAGTTTGATCAAACTCAATTCTATAGTTTTTACGTGAAAGTGTAACACACATTCATCAACATATTCATGCAACAAACTTTTGTTGTTTATAATATTAGAAAGATTACAAACAAAACTTCAGTTATTAGAATATTTTCGTCGCCTATAAATGTATATGGGACACACGTGGTACCACTCATGCGTTGCCATTCCCCAAAACTGAGATGTGATGCATCTCATCCTGTAATTATACTGTCTAATCTCCACCGTTCAACCGAAAGCTCACAAAAAAGCTGATTGCAGGCTGAAATAGATGAAACAGGTACAACCTATATGACTCCAGAGTAAATAGATGATTTTTTACGTCCCTTTGTAATTTCACTGCTTTCTCAGATCCGTCATTTAAACATAGAAATTATCTTTTTTCAAATAAACATTTGTATACTCGCTTATGATATGTCAAATCTACTCTACTCACTCATCTGTAAAAGTTAATAACATCTGACAGTTCTTTTGTGAACTTCCGCGATACAGGTTTGCTTACTGCTGGGTCAAATTTACATTTAACTTTGTTATCTTTGTAAATTTCTAAATAAATAATAAAAATGTCTTCTTTTATTCCAGCGTTCATTGGGAAAGCAGTTTCAGACAAGAAGAATAAGCAAAACACTTATCAGTTGCCTTTTTTAACTAATGTTCAACATTATATATTAAAGGTATTATGTGAACCTAAAGTACCGACTAGCATTAATAAGGTAACAATAAATACATAGGCGGGGGAAAGTGTTGGGGCACTTGAAGTTGAAGGAAAAATAGAACGAAAGAGAGGAAGGGGAAGACTAAAACTCAGCTATATCAAGCAGGTCAAGGAAAAGGTTGGAGTCGTGTCGTATCAACAATGAAAGAGATTGATCGAAACTGGTAATGACTAATTTTATCGAAAGACAAATAGAAAGAAAAAGGAGAAGATAAAGATCAAATAAGCTATATCAAGCAATTCAAGGAAAAAATTGGAGTCGTGTCATATCAAAAACGAAAGAAATTAATGGTAAATAGTAATGACTAATTTAATCGAAGGACAAATACAAGGAAATAGGAGAAGGGAAAAACCAAGACATAGCTGTATTAAGCAGATCAAGGAAAAGGTTGGAGTCGTGTCGTATCAACAATGAAAGAGATTAATGGAAAATGCTAAGAGCTCCACCAATAACAGCGTGTCTCTTAAATTATGAATGATTGAACTACAATATAAATTGAAACATACCCAAATACTGCAAGTGGACTCTGATCTGATGCATCCTGCCAGTCTTCGGCCGACACAGCACAACACTGGTATTCGAACTCCCGTTGTACCCTAATCGCTTGAACACCGTTGAACAGTCTTTCCCTTTTGGTGAGACTTTACATACTCCTATTTTGTAGCTGACCACTTCTATTGGTTCTTGGCATTCGATTTCATCTCTGTTAAAAAAATGAATTTGTTAATGAAACTTTCAACTACTGAGTCAAGGGTTTTTTAAAGTTGTCATTCTATCTGCCTTTATGTGGTTTACTCTCCTAACCAGTTTTCTATAGTAGAGGGAAGGCGTTTCTAGTAATGGGGAAGTAACTCATCTGCTAGCTATGTAGGGCTGCTAGTAATCAGATTAACCTCTGAGCCCCCTTGATCGTAATAAATTCTAAATTTAGGACTAAGAGTGAACAGGCTACATGCATAAAATATTTTTCACTGGGGCGTCATGTACTCAACTGTTATTGAGTACATGACATTCTTATTTTTAAGACATGTCTCATAGTGACGGTGATGACCTAGGTGGTAAGGTCATACCGTTTTATTTCCGATGAACGCTGGTTCGATTTCTCGCATGATGCAAATATTCGTATTAATGAGTATGAGTGTGATTGTTGCATTGGTCTGGGTATGGGTATTATGTAAACACAAAAAAAATGTATTTACGTATTTCTAGCAGTAGTTTAGTACCCATAATAGAGCTCTGTTTAGGTCTAGGCTAGGCACTGCGTGAATTATTCAGCGTTATATTTATGAGCTGACGAATAAATTTACTAATGAAAACTCAATTTTTAAAAATACAAATTAACAAGTTTTATTCCGTTCACAATACTCGAACTCACAACAATTGAGATCAAGTTAGGATAATAAAGTACTAAGGCATGTCGCTCTACAAGAAAGTTACGTTGATAAATATTTTTGTTTTTTTTTTGCTGCTAAACAAGAAATGGTTTGAACGTGACCTCGCTTACAAATGACTCGAGTTCTAGGTGGGATGTAGACGATATTTTTTACAAGCAACTACGCTAATCATTATGCGTACCAGGTTTTGTTCTTGTTATACACATACATTTATGTTAGATACACACATATCGAGTATGGGTAGATTATGTATAGGTTTCTGTATTCATATCTTTACGCAACACGACAGGCATACAACGCTATAACGAAATGTATGCTGTTTCGTTATATTTATGTTTAATATAACTTCTATATGAATTTTATAAATATATTAACTGGTAAAATAAACAAATCTAAAATAATAGTAGCGTAAGTTAGTCTCTATAATATTAGCTCAATGCGCGTCAAAGTCCCGACTAATTTGCTGTAGCCGTTTCAGTGATAAGGAAGATAAGACAGACAGACATACCAAAATTTATAAAATATATATTTTTTAAGTTACTTTCACATATATTTAGTGATAATATTTATTTAATATATAATTTAGATAATACTTATTAAATACATAATAAATAACCATAGACAACTCACACAGTGCCATCTAGTTCAAGCTAAGTAGATCTTATAATATGAATACAAAACTTACTTAAATATATTTTATTCTATATACATATTTAATGTACATATAAAAACTTTCTGACCAAAATATACATATACTCATGTGTACAAATGATATGAGATCTTTCGTGTTAATTAATTTTATAAGCAACGTTTACCACTTACCATCAGGTAGACCGTCGGCCATACTGTACCATTTATTTAAAAAAACAACTAAATCCCTTTACACACGGTTCCCTTAACGTGTTTTCAGTGCTACTTATATTTCAGTATTAAATATTACATAACGCGCATGAAATAAAAAATAATTAAGCCCCTTAACATTTAAAGGTATATTTTTAGAATTTTAATACTTATATAATATTCATTTCTTCACCGTAAAACGTTATTTTTGAAGCAGCATAAAATTATAAATAAATTTGAGTGATTCTTGAAATCATTAATATTGCTAAATAATTTTCCTCTCTAATGCTGCTTTTATTGACGAAATTTGTTATAGAGCATAAATGCAATGATAACGAATTCAATCTAAATTAAAATACAAAGTGCTTAATTATTATTAATATTTTTTATTCAAATATAAAAATAAGAAAATATATATTTTATAAATAAAAGATAAGGTACTATATGTTGTGGGTTCGACTCTCGGCTCTATTGATAAGTATGATGGTTCATATTGGTCCGGATGTTCTCTATGTAGTTGGCAGTTGTTAAGTACACATAGTAAAAACTATGCATAATAGCTGATCCCCCGACTTCGTACTCGGGGGTAATGTGCCCCATTGCTAGCAATGTAATATGTCACGTAGACATCCACGCAGTTCCCCCAGGACACCAGCGTGGTAAATTGTCATTTTCAAAGATGGGCTAATTGGTCTAACTTCATGCTCATATTATCATCCTCCACTGGTGCCCCGCCAGCGTAAACCGTTAGGCGAGTTAACATCATTCTATTATGATACTTAAAAAAACTTACTCTGGAAACGCGCCGTCAACTCTGCACACGTACTCCTTCTGCACTTGTCGGTTCCTTATCTGGTGCTCCATCTGTCTCGCTTTCTTCGGACTCCTCCCGAACAGCAGGAGACCTTATCAGGGAAACAAATTTCACGTTTTTAATAACAAATATTGTAAAAAGAATCCTGTTTCTTGTAGGTATTATACCTAATTTGTTGAATTTAAAATGTCATTTCTTTTGCTAATATATTTTTACAAAATCGTATATAATAAATTAAGAATATGCTCATTACATTAATTTGAGCGTTCTACCTCATAAGGATATATTTAAAAGTATTAAATCATATTTTAAGTCTTCTGAGGATAGGCCTCTTCTAAAGTACGCTACTAGGACCGATCTTCGAACTATTTATGTTCATTGCCACAAATGTTTAAATCTTATAAATATAAAAATAAGTACTCTTAAAACTATTCTATGAATTATGTAAAGAAATTAAAAGAAAATTAATGCTCATAATAAATTATTTATGGTCGGTTTTATGTAGTCTATATCCTTAATTCTAAATTTAAATTTAGAAATATGAATTGCGCACAATCAGTTTGTACAGAAATGAAAGACAAAAGATCCAAATGAAATTGGCTGAATTGTAAAAAATTGTCTGAACATAGCTCTACAGTTTCTGTGCCAATAAGTCCATTCTATAGACTCTAGATTATCGAATAGAGTGTAATTCTTTCAATTTTAAGATATTCTTGAGAAGTCGCTTTCCTCACTAACATGATTCTTTTTGGTTCAACTACTGGATCTATGTAGGTGACACGTTTTTAGAGGATTTAGTAACGTTTTACCACGTTGCCCAGGTGGCTTGGTATAGGATTTTAGTTTGAGTCTTCTCTCATAACGGAGTATTTGTGCTCTATTCGTCTTACCATATAATATATGTATATAGAGATATATCATTTATACTTACTATATAAATGATAATAAGCATTTTTATTTCTTTCTTCCTGCAAGCAGATTATTATGTTGGTATTCTATAATACTATCAAATTTATGACGCCTACAAAGGTGACGATTTCATCCAAAATTAAAATGTTATTTTGCGTTTCCGAATTTTGTCTATAAGTATATATTATTTTTTAATACAGCAAAAACATTACTAACTACTAAATATAGTATCACCAGTAATATTTTTAACTTGTAAGATAAAATACAGAATACGAAATATATAGAAGTAAGTTTCACCATATTTTCAAACTGTAATTGAATCTCGAGTGATTTGTGAATTCAAAACGGAATAAACTTTTTTAAAAATCTTCACAAACTTCGCGGTACACTTGAGTTCGAAAACTGTTTCTAAGTTTGTAGGTGCACCGCGGGAAGGCATCTTCAAAGTTATCGGTCGAGTAACTTTACGAACGGTTTACCTGACGTTAACCTGTCCAGCCTGTGAATGGTCCTCAGATTCTTCAAGTTGTATTCTTTAGCGAGTATGAACACGACTGTGTTGTGTCTATACCGACCGCATGGATGTACCTGGCGTAATAACAAATAATAAACTTACTATATACAAAACTAGATAAGAAATATTTAACAATATATCATAACTTTATAAGTATAAGCATTTGAAAGGCGGACAACGATTGTTATTATTCTACTCTCAGATCTACTTTCATTTTTTTCGCCTAATCTTTTACTTATAAATACATTGGAATATATCTTAAACTATTATGCTTTAAATAATTTAAAATTATAAATGTGAACTATTTTCAAAGGAAAAGTAATTTCTTAAACAGTTGTTTATTTTTACATATATCTGAGATGATTAACTGAATTATTTAGATATTTTACACAGATTTTTAGAGAGATCAATATAGAATGTATATGTATATATACCGTGGAAATTTGCACACTAATTCAATCTAGAAAACATTAGTGTAGCAAAAACATAGGCAATACGTAAAATATTAGGACCATTACATCCATTTAAACTTTGACAATGTTATTCATAAATATCACGTTTTCTCCAATGGTTATATATTCTATACGTCACATATTTACTAAAATAGTATCACAACTACAAAATATATTATAGGCAATTTTTATTGTACCCTTAATTACAAAATTCATAATTTTATGCTCAAGTATCAATTGCATTTTTTTTCTAAAATTAAAAGTGGATATGGACTTTCTATTTATTTTCGATAATTTGTTCTTTTAGTTGTGATAATATTAAGCGGAAGAGCGATGTACGATTGTAAAATCCTTCTATGTCATTCCTGAACTCATTGTTGCATATATTTGATCCAATCACGTTCTATTGCTGAAAGGCATCTTTCTAATTAAATCATCACCGTTGAACATTTATGACAGTATAGAACATAATACACTCACACCTGACATATAGGTATGAATCACTTAGCGAATCAATTATAAGATATTATCTCTTAGATATATAAGTTTGAAAAACATTAACATAATTTGATATGAAAACCTAAACTATACTCCGCGCCGTGTAGCGTGGTGAACTGCTAGCTAAATTTATTATTTTGGATTACAAAAAATTTACTAAATACTTATACAGTTAGCATTACTAAAATAGCATTAGGTGCTTACTGTGTAAGAACTGTATTTAGTAAAATTTTTGTAATCCAACTTAATGTAATAGACATAAATATCTTTCATAATCTATTGGTTAATTGAATATTGCTAATTACTTGCAAAACACCTACGTTTTTATGATTTGTATGGTTATCTCCATGACCGTGCTACAAGTTGCAGAATATAGACACATGATATACTTTAGTTATTTCTAAATCATTTGAATTATAATAACATAAAACATAAAATTAAGGCATATATGACAAAGCTCTAATATCACATAAATGAGACAATTAGTAAACAAAAAGCTTGCATTGCAAACGAAAATTAGACAGAACTGTAATGAATTGTTTTATAGACAGTTAAAATAGAGCATGCGAAGTTAGCGATAACATATATTTTCCAGAAAATTATAAACACTACTATTATCGTAAAAAAACTTTAGTCTTCTGTAATATCATGCAATAAATATATATTGAATAATATATACCACTTAGAATATTCAATTTATTACCATACATTTCAATAGAATATTAGTATTTGAAAAATCAATTCAGTATAACAAGAATTTTGATGTAGTAGATAACGTCAGCCTCACTGTCTGCAAATCATCTAAGTAACATGATATCTACGTAACTCAAACAATACCAAGAGCACACACAGTCGAGTTTGGGATCCACTTACAAGTGGGATTTTGGAGGAGACCGCACATTTTCTCAGATCTGTTTAAGGTATTTATAGTCTCGAACTTTTGTGCAGATCACAATCTTGTGTCAGACTCTGATGGTGAACTTTGCTCGAGTTTGTTTGAAACAGAAAAATTTCTGTGGAACTTAACGCGTATTTTTAGATTTATAAGCTTAAGCACCGGAGTTTTGTAAACAAAAATTACGGGGTCATATTAGATTCGAGTATTTTCAGGCAAACATTTTGTATTACGTACATCTAAGGAATGTGGCTTAAAGTTACAACGATGTACTTGGACTTTTATTAGATATTCCAAGTAAGGGAAACATTGTAAGAGCTTTTATACCTGAGTCAGAAATTATAATTCTAATAGAGAGTGACAGATTTATAATTCGTAAAGTTAATTCTAAACCATCTCATGATTGAATCCGAGAAATATACTTAAGAAAAATAACTTAAATTTGCCTAAAATATGTGAGTGTGGATAATCCAGTATAGATTCGAAAGCAATGGTCCGTATTCTCAGTCTATATGTAAGACCATCAGAGCCTGACAGTGAACCAAACGCGAATACAACTCACCGGCAACGAGCAAGGCTTGTCTAACACGAGCAGTTCTTCGTCCGCGTGTATGATGCGCAAGGGGTTAGCGAGCACTGGAGTCTCGTGCCTGGCCCACCACGGACACAACAGATTCATTACCACTTGTATTTTTTATGATGCTGCCATTGCACTTGGGATATCGTCAATGAATATGTTATATTATGCATTGTTTAGTTAGGAGATGCATTTTGTGTAAAAAAGTTGAGGCTATTGTTAGATTTTAGTACTGGTGGAAAGTTACATATAATTTTGAGTAAGTTTAGGCTCAATTGTGTCCAAAAAGTATATGCCGATGACTAGTATTTGCAGCTTTTTCCTTATTTTATGTAAAAGTGATGATGGGCTATGCCAATGAAAATGTGTGCAAGGTTCAATTCAGTCGTTCGGTGTGTGTTTGAATAAACTCTATTACGCAATAGAAAAATTTATAAGTTTACACAATACATTATGAGTTACATGAGAGGGCGAGTACGATCGGTATCATCAGATCATGAGAGATATTACAGGTGCTACAAACTAGGTTTTGATACTTGTAATGCCTTCATTCACGTATTTCGGTTTCATTTTCCTTAAATCAATTTTTTTCTTCACTTACGCAAAACACATACTTGAAATGATATGCTTAGTTGTTTACATAAAGAGATAGTAGTCCTTGTAAATCTTTGTCTTGTAAAGTTTTATTAAATGGTAATAAAAAAATACATGTGTTTTCAAAATGAATGGTTTTGGCTTAGCAGAATTCACTTTAACAAATCCCAAATGCAATACAGCATCACACAAACAATTTATAAGTGAATCAACATGTAACGAGAACAGAGCTAGCCTGTGTAGATTCATCAGTTAATTGTATCAGCCTCTATAAGATTTATTTGATCCACGCTGTTTCAGAGGCGGGATGTCTAACGTTGTGAAATTGTGTAGGTACATTCAGTTTCATAAACATATTAGGCGACACGATGGACAATAATGTGATGCACCAATTTTTCAAATATATATTAGCAAGAATCAAATACGCAGATAAATAATAGATTATTTCTATTTTCATAAGCCATCGATACTACGTCGTAAATAAATTAAAAGTGAAGAGAATCTTTTTGATAACTTTGAATGATTAAACAATATACTTATTCTGATGTAGTATGTTATATAATTTATGTATACCGAGATATTATTGACCATTCTTCGCGTCACAATGTATGAAATGCTGACTGTACTTTGTATAGTTGCTTCTTGGCACTTTTGTGTAACAGACAATAAAAAAAACTACAAAACAAACGTTAGTATTAATGAATTGCCAATATCGTTTCATCAACAGCTGCAATTTATGAAAACGTATCCAAAAGACTTTTATTTCAAAAGCAATTTTATTTATATGTCAAGAAAGTCCTTATGAAATAAAAATCTTAATCTTGAGTGCGTTGATGATGAAAATTGGTCCATATAAGAGAGAATCTGATAAAATATTTTATGATATATATGCAAAACCATGCTCGGAATAAAACGCAAAATTAAAACAGGTACTTACTTGTCCTGCATTATTGGTACGACCAATTATAATAATAAATATTCATAAATATTAACTAATGGCTTTATACTTCGTTAAGTAGCAACAGCAATGTTTATATACAATATTAATTGATTAATAAATTATAACTTAGTATAAAACGTTAATACACTTTTATAAACCTCATGCAAGTTTACTTTACAAAATCATTTTCTCTCTAGTTTCTTTCATAAAAAGCAAATTCTACTATGATTCATATAAAGCGGCGTTATTAGACCCCAAGGTTACTTTGTTAGTGTGGGGTGTAAGTACACGAGTAGTATATGAGGGAAGTCACTTAACAGCAAAATGAAACCGTGCTTTTATTCACTTCACACTCGCTTTTGACATTTTATTACTTAATGGAGTGGCCATTTTATTTTTTGGGTTTATTATTAATTGAACACTTTGGTTATTATTCAACTATGTATATTTTTTTATATTTTATTGCATCTTTAAGCTGTATTTAATTTTCTTTGTCTATTCAAACAAAATAGTTTTGTTATCATTCATTTGTTGAATTACACACAATGTTTGGGTCCTTCTAATGTGGATACATAGAAACAACATCTTTTCTTTGTATAGGTATAGTACATTGTACAATATTTAGTACAACCTGATTGTTGTAGCAATAGTTTTCAGGATTCAAATGAAATAGAATCGGTATTAATCATAGTTAATTTACTAATGTGTACGTATTACTGTATTCCTCGATATGCAATATAAATACAAAAATTTGAAGCATTATTGTTGAAATACTACTGTATGAAATGGTAATTTTAGGTAAACTACTCTTTTAGCAATTTAAATATAACAACAATAGCCTATTTAATTTAAATAATAAATACGAAGCGCTTTATAGAATATTTGCTTGGAGAGTCTTTCATCAAACAGCACTCTAAAATATTTCTTGCCAAAGGCACACTCTTGTACACGCCAAAGGACTTTGAGCGGTGCGGCAAAAGCGGATTTTGGTCCAACAGTAGCTTTAGATGGAACGGTACATACAAAATGAAATTGCGAATGCAATAATATTTTCAGACATTCAGTCTGATTCAATGATGAATATAATATGCATAACATAAATTTAAAATGTGAACTTTCTTCAATAGTTTTAAATTTTCAAAGATTTTACACATTATATAATGAAATAAGTATCAAATATGCTATATACCTATATTATCGCAGGTACTATTACATATGATAATAGATTAACAGAATATAAGAGTGAAGTTACACACTTCACACTACGGTTATAATTATTGGTTTACCTATATTTTACCTACTGCGCTTTGATGTATAACCCACTGCTGTTTTTATTTACGTATTCATAATTTTAAATATTTTTAGTAGACGCTTATATTATAACTAGTCACATAATATTGTATTGCTGAAAATATTTTTATTATAAGAAAAATCATATTAAAAATGTTACATAAAAAAGCGATATATAAAAATATAACTACACATTCACCACTACCGTCTGCACTGTTAGTAACCAAAGCATAAATAAAATGAATGATAGAAGTAATGTAAATTATGATAGAAGCGATACACATAACATGGCTGTCTCAATTGCCACTTACGGGGATAGAGGCCGGTTTGTTGACAACCACAATGTCCTCGTCGATATGTACGAGGGTGATGGGTTGGCTGGTGACCGGTACTTCGTGCCTGCAACGATATACACGTCAGGCCTTCGGCTTGAGGCGAGCTCCAGACACTGAGCAAAGTATCTACATCCCATTATCATCGGATTAGTGATTTGTACAACGTTTTTGGACGACATTACGGAATTGCTCAGGGTCCGTTGAAATTCAAATCGTTTTGACGTATGTAAATATATTATACATTAGAACAAAACAACAACAAATGAACATGCGCGAGCGAATATATACAATGGTACGTGTGAGGTAAGTACGTTGTTAAACGAAGACACAGTTTTATAATAATTAATAATGACAGTGTAACTTCTATTTGTGTCTTAGTTAGAAGCGGTCAGTGCACTCGCATGCTCATTCGGTATATTATCTTTATATTAGAGAATTATTTCTATTATATATAGTAGACTGTACATACATATAAATATTATTTATTTTCATAATAAGCTCCTATACATATATGCAAAATCATTTAACATTTTAAATGCTGCTAAACATTTTCATTATGTCAATTACTTTAAGTATATTGATATCATGTGGCAATTGAAATGTTAAACAATTGGCTAATATTTATTAATATATAATTAAAAGTGTTAATTATATTTAATTACGATTTTTACAGGGTTTCTTAGCACTGCTGAAGATACAAGGCAAGAAGTCTGTTAATAGGAAAACTAAGATTGTATCTGTGTCCAGTATATAATGTACAAGTGTATGTGTACATTGGAAATTCCAACTAGTGTATCAGGAAATCTATACTTTTTGTAATTTAAGCTATCTACAATGAGCCACAGATATTAGAGTTGCCAAAAAATGTGGAAACTGTACCTATGAACGACATTCGCGAGAAGGTCGTTGTGTTTGAGCCGGTAATCTGGATCCACTCGTTCATAGTTGACAGTAAGTGTACCCGCTCTGATGCACCTTTCATATTCAGCTGCCGGATGAGCCCTGAACTCCCTTGCAAAGACATCGAGGATTTTCTCACCCACCCACCTTCCTTTGGTGAATGTTGTGAATGTGAAGTAGTATGGGTATACTTTCCTAAGTCCTGTAATTACGATGGAAAATTAACATCCTTATCAACATTATAATCTGAAAATAAAACTTAATTTATTATTAACACTTGTTTAATTTAAACTGCATAGCTTAGTTTAGTTAAATTTGACTATCAATATATTATAAAATAGTAGTAGACATAAACTGGATATTAGCCAAACATTACAAAATTATATTAGATAATCTATAAGACACGGAATATTACATCAGTGAAAATTTGTTGATAGATTATTGCAGTATCTACATGACTATCTAATAATATGGTAGGGTAGTGAAATTAAATTGAAGAAAAAACGGCATTGCGGTAAGATGACTAAGGCCATTAGTCAATAACATAATGGAACGCTCCGCTCCCTTACGGTAACCATGTTGGAAAATGTAATGCCAGAATTTTATCAGTCAAGAGGATTCATATTAAATAAAGTATTCACCGACGTCTTATTGAATAACAGACCTTTATTGAAATGTAATGCAAAAAGCTTCGACTAATAAAGGATGAATATTATATGTATTTCATAAGATGTAAATAGACGAAAGACGAAAGGATGACGACGTAGCTGTAAAAGATAAAAGTGGAAGGGCTAAAGAGGTCTAGACTGATCTTTTAACATAAGACGTATTGTATTAGTTTAGAGTTGAGACGTGTTATGAAATAATGATGAAGCAAAAAATGTTTTAAACGAGAAATGTGTGAACATTATATCTGTGAGATCCAGTAAGAGATCTGGTGTGGAAATACGATATATATCAGGTCCAGTTCAATGTATATCGTCAAAAGACGATATTGAGAAAAATCATGAAAATGAAATTATCGACAAAGTTGTGGGAGTTGATGTAATCCAATAAGTTGCTGGAGATTATGGGCCGTCGCTCTTAAAGGAAATCAAAGGGATTTATGGATGGTATGAAATTGAAAAGGAAAATTCTTTAGAATACTTTGTGTCTGAAATATTGTGATGGTAAGTATCAAATACTACATTATTTTAATTATTATTGGATATCAATTTCATTAGATCTTACCCTAAATACTAATAGATAATGATATTGTACTTTAAATTCATATATATTATATGTCATTCAACATATTGAAAATGTTTGAAGTGTCAATATTTTTGAATAGCTATTAGCCATTAGCCATTCCCATGTAATTTTGTGAAAATGGAAGACTCTAATTTCCATGGCCTTATATTTTTGTATTCTTGCGTAATTATATTTTACATCAATTTAATTAATATATTTTTAATATTTGAATTTACATACAAATTTGTAACATTCAATAGACTAATTTATTTTTAGTCAAATGATCCAAATTTACTCCTTTTAACTTCATCCACTTGAGTTCATAAATCTGATAGTGGATTTTACAAGTACAATAACTCATTTAAAGTACGAAAGTGCTTACCATTTTCAATATAATAAGAGGTCTCGTTGTAACGGTCATCGGTAAACCCTGGCCTCTTCGCTTTTAAAGCTTTTGTTTCTAATTTTGCCTGCAACAATGAAATAAATTTACTATAAGAGTTTATTCTCGAAACACATTATATTAGGTATTTTCAATTAGAATGAACTGTGTAGTTATGCAAAATGGTTTCTTAGAACAAGAAACTGGGAATCGTTACTAATATTTATCATTATCTACTGTGGTAGAATATGGTAGCAGCTTATTTTAACACGAGAATTCTTTATATTAAACAAAGAGTTCGTCAATACTTTATTGTGTCCTATTTCATCACAGTAGTATATAATTTCTTAATTAATATTCTTTCTGATGGTCAAACATAAAATATTTGACTATCAGAAATAATATAATTCTAGACTAAAATCTAATTCTAGACTAGCTGTATCCGCGACTTCGTCCGAGTGGAATATAACTTTATTTTTCTAAAATAAAAGATTAAAAAATAAATAAAAGTAGTCTAATTTACTCCCTATTACATACTGATGTAATAGGGAGTAAATTATACCGGTATAATAGGTTAGTATATGGGTTAGCGTCGAGCGCAGGCATTTTTCAACGCATTATGTGTAGTTTACTGAGTGATATTCCCAACGTCGAGATATTCTTAGACGATGTTCTCGGTAGGAATAGAGCTATTGGAGGCATTTTTAGTAGATTAGATAAATATGGTTTTAAATTAAAAACTAAATGATGTAATATTTAGGATTTGTAAAAGGACGGAATAAAAACGGACCCGGATAAAATCCAGGCTATCACAAAAATACCACGAGAGTGTGTGACCGAATTAGAAATTTGTAAGGAATATGAGTTCTAGATTGCGTACCTTTATACGATTTTTAAAAAAACATAAATCGACGGGACTTTTCTTGGTAGGTAATTGTACCTACCAAGAAAAGTCCCGTCAAAATCGGTCCAGCCATTTCGGAATCAATAGACAGACAGACAAAAATTATAAAAAATGTTAATTTGGTGTATGTACCGTATTTATATTCATATGCATGTAGTAAAAAACGGTTATTTCAATATTACAAACAGATACTCCAATTTTATTTATATGTATAGATGACATTCGTATTATCTCACTGTAAGTGGTTTACCCATATATGGGCTAATGCTATAATATATTCTTTTACGTATAAGCCATATAAATGACTAATTTACAAAGACACGCCAAGACTATTTACTAAACCACGTATACAAAAATAAGCTATACTTGGAACTTCGAGAAACTTCCTGATTCCACTGTCGACTTGACGAGAACCCTATAAGTTTATACAAGGCAACAATTCTTCGAATATTCGTCGAAATAATAATAGATTGACAGAATATACGAGAGAATTGTGTGCCGAAATCGCTTTTAAAAACTTCTGTCTGTCGGGACTCTACGCTGAAATGGAAAAAGTTTTCCAACGAAACAAAGCCGGCACGGGGTTTTATTAATTCCGCCGTCGCCCGTGTTGTTTCATGTGCGGATTGTATCGTTAAAATTTCAGGTAGACGTGAATCGGACTACCTACCTAGCAAATGGATGAAATCATTGCATAATGTCGAACATACATACATTAATAGTAGTAGAGAAAGATATATTGCAGCGGACGTGAATAATGGAGGAAAGATAAGACTATAATATATACATAAATTTTAATAAAGTGGTAAAGAAAGATATATCATACTAGATGTAAATAATGAGAGAAAGGCAAGTCTATAATACAATATAAGTATAAGAATTCCAAAATTTAAGGCGGATATTTAAGTAAGACAAGACAAGGGCAATTACTGTCACGATTCATTTGTAGAAAGAGGTGAATTTTACCATTCTACAAACTATTGTAAACAACAAAAATACTTATAATGTTGTCAATATATATAATTACAATTTTCAATCAGTTGAGCATTGTATAAAAATTTACTAGGTATATAGACTATGTATACTTCATATCAACACCGATAAATTCAATACAAAACGTGGGGTGCAGCGAAATTCATTATGGTAAAAGTCTAGCGATTTACGAATCGTTCCCTCTGAGGCTTTGTTCGAAACAAAGACGATTTTTCATCGTGAAATACCTTCGGAATTATAACGGACTGAAACGAAATTTTAATTGAGAATAAATCTCGACTCATAATATTGTACGTGAGCAAAATAACAAAGAAATACAATAACAATTCCATTTTAATTTGTAATGTTTCGCTACAATTAAGATATTTAATTTATAACTTCATATTGTGCTCATATTATGCAAGTCTTAATGCAAATATTAATTTCGGAAAGTGTTCGGATTACTTTGCATTTGATTTAGTTATCTAAAAACTTCCAGGTGTTTTATCATATTTACTTATGTATATGATTGTATTAGAATAATGAAATGATATTAGGTATTGGAAGGTCTTCAATTAGTTCTGGTTAAATCTCTTATGTCTAATGATTATATCACAAATTGCTACCTTTATATCATTCTGTTTTCATAGTTATATAATAAATATAGTTTATTCCAATGAATATTTCGCATACTCGTATAAAATAAAATTAAAGTGTTAACAGTTATATCAATTAAAAAAGTGTGAATTCTCCAAAACATTATACAAATGGAATTTACTTGTAGCATTCAAATTTTACTAAATGCTGAATTGTTTATTTTAATTGTTATATGCGAAACGGTTTAAAATTCATTCGTAACTTTTAACACATGGTAGTTTGCAGTTCAGTGTTGCATAAACCGTATACCTTTACATCTATATATAATTGTATTTTATTATCTTTTTAACAACTCATTCTTGTAATTATTACATAGTATAAAATAAAGTCGCTGTCGCTGTCTGTCCGTCCCTATGTATGCTTAAATGTTTAAAACTACGCAACGGATTTTGAAGCGGTTTTCTTAATAGATAGATTGATTCAAGAGGAAGGTTTATATATATAATACATGTACACCCATGCAAAGCTGGGGCGAGTAGCTAGTATTATATAAATTGTTGTTGTAATTATATAAACTCGGAGGAGGGCCAATATTCGCAACACAGTATTATACTTCTATGAATATCATCGAAATTTTGTACACATGTTTCTATTCCAAATAACTTATTAATTATTATTAAATTTAACTTCACGACTGTTATCCTAGAGAGAGTAGTCAGGGACATGTCTACTGTCGATGTTATAGTGAAATCAAGTTCGTGCCCATATTATGCTATCGGTATATTCGAATCCAACATGGAAGGGACCAAACTTACTGCCGTCGCTTCTTTAGGTTAATTTACTATAGGTGTTTCAATCACCGGAGAAATATATATCAATACAAAGTTTTTTAAGTGTCGGCCAGATTCGTATCGGTCCATGTTGGAGAAGTTAACCACTACACTAGTATGCTTCTACTACTACTACTTGTACAACTATAGAAGCATTTATATTGTGTTTTCCTTTTCCATATTTCACTAAATAGATCTAGGGATGAAAAAGATTGGTGACACATTGTATTCTTGCTCCGTTATTTTTACCTTACTTATTTATTAATTTATGGGGCCATCAAGTAGAATTTTGTGACACCTACATTGTTGCTAGCGACGATACAAGTGATGATATTACATAACTTTATTACCTTGAGAGCGGGTAGCGTACGGTTACTTCCCTAAAATAAGGATTAAAAATAAGACCTCGACCTTATTCATCCACATATTAATCTATACTAATATTATAAAGCTGAAGAGTTTGTTTGTTTGAACGCGCTAATCTTAGGAACTACTGGTTCGAATTGAAAAAATTCTATGTGTTGGATAGTCCATTTGTCGAGTAAGGGTTTAAGCTATATAACATTACGCTACGACCAATATGAGCGAAGCATCAGTGAAAAATATTGCAAAAACGACAATGTTTTGATAACAACCACACGAGCGAAGTCGCGGGCACAGTTAGTACTATATAGTTGGGGTGACATATGAATGTAATTAAGCGATACAATGTCAAAATGTGGCCAGTAATATTGCTATTATTATAAAGGTATATAATAATAGTAATACCTCAGATTTTGTGTAAAAAGCCTATTATAGGATAGATGAATTCCTAAATGACAGCATTAATTAGCAAAATAAGTTTATTTGCGGACAACGTTATAATTTATTTTTATTACTGATTTCTTGAAATATGATAACGTAGCGGTTATGCATTAATTGGCGCATGCATTCTTATGTAAAGTGCGAATATTATAACTATCACATGGTAATTTTAAGTAGATATGACGTGCTCGAGTGTATTGAGTCTATATATGCTCACTGTTGGGTCTTTGCGCTCCCTAAAATATGGTCGAGCGTATTGATGGCTGGCTCTTCCATCATACTCGTGAACGAGTGCTGCATGTAAGGACTTGTCTGCTCTAATTACTACGACTGATTTCATGTTACTGTATATTTAATACTTGGCCCTAATAAATTAGTACTACTTGGTAGTTTAGTACACATTTTGACTTAAAAATGTAAAGTTAAAACTTATTTAAAAGAACAACATGCAAGTTTTTTGCTCATTCTTCTAGCTATGAGACAGCTTTTCGAATGAGCGTTAAATTAAGGAAGGATAACTGTGACTATTCCAAAGTGCTTAAATTAAAAAAGGATTTTCTAATCTATTCTATATATTTGACTTTAACTCTGTATTAATGTAATGAATTTTACTGTGTGTTAATGACTGTGTAATTTAATTAAAACTGCTAGTCTGTTAAACAGTAAAATACTATAAAGTTGGTGTAATTATTCACAAAATGCCATTTATAAGAGCACAGGGTAGATACAAAACCTTGCGTGCTATTGAATGACATTAGAATGTAATTAGGGCCTCCGAAATATAACTGTGCACGTAGCACTGGCAAACTTTTACAGAAAACACGGAAGTTAGTTTTGGTTACTAATGGGGTATTAAAGTGTCATTATTTTTCAGTGAAACACCTACATGGCATAAGGAAACCATAGTGTAATTATATTTCGGGCAATTTATAAACCTATAATTTATGATATGGGTGAAAATTTGCCTACTGGTCTATTATT